ATATATATACATACATACATATATATATATATATATATATATATATATATATATATATATATATATATATATATATATATATATATATATATATATATATATATATATATATATATATATATATATGTGTGTGTGTGTGTGTGTGTGTGTGTGTGTGTGTGTGTGTGTGTGTGTGTGTGTGTGTGTGTGTGTGTGTGTGTGTGTGTGTGTTGTTTATATCTATCATATATCTATCTATTATATCTATATATATATATATATATATATATATATATATATATATATATATATATATATATATATATATATATATATATATATATATATATATATATATATATATATATATATATATATATATATACATGTATGTATTTATAGTGAGAGAGACTTAAATATAAAGACCTACACACACACACACACACACACACACACACACACACACACACACACACACACACACACACACACATATATTTATATATATACATACATATTCGTCATTTCATTTTTTCATTACTAACGCTTTAAGGATGCATCATTAATCGTCTTTAACGTTTGCATAAGCGCAAAAACACATAAAGAAATGACAAGAACCAAAGAACAAAGCCTCCAAAGTAAAACTGAATAGAAATGAGATAAAAACGTGAACTGCAGTTCGTGCAGCTGTAACGAGAACTACGAAATATATGAGGAATACAAGTTCTATATTCCGGCCAGTGAAAAAGAGCGATGTGGAAATAATAAAAGTAATTAGAGCGGCGAACATGTAGATGATTCTTGCTTCATTCTAGCTTCCAGCCCCGCCCCGCCAGCCGCAGCCGCCGAAAGGTGGTCCCCCCTAGTAAGTTTGTCGGCCGCGGCCCCTGAGCCCCACACGACCGGCGGGCAGGGCTCGACCCCGGGGCCCACGGAAGGGAGCCCGTCCGACGGCCCCGGCAGCCAGGACCCCCCAAAGCCTGCCCCGCTTTCGGGACGGGGACCGGAAGGCAGGGGGTTCACGGCGCGGGGGCACGCCCGCGCCCGTGCCGCCGCAAGCCTCCGCCCGTGCCGAGAGGGCGCAGGGGGCAGAGAGCACAAGCCGGCCCGCCCGGAGGCGAGGCCCAACCAGCAAGGGGGCCCCCGCCCCCCGACGGCGAGCTCGACACGGGGCTGCCCCGCCGCCCGCAGCCGAAGTGGCCCCCCATATAGTTTGTCGATGCAGGACCTCAGCCACCACGACGCGCCAGGGCCCGCCCCTCGGCCGCTCGCCCAGGGAAGAACGGCCCCTTCGGGTAGGCGATCCCGCATAGGCCGCGCCCGTCCCCTACGCCGGCCGCCCCACGAGGCGCAGGGGGCCGAAGGGGAAAGCCCCGAGCCAGCCCCCTGGCCCGAGGAAGATGAGGCAGACGGGCAGGACTGACAGGCATGGTCCTAGCCATCGCCTGCCGCCCCTCCGGCCCCGAGAGGGCGCGGGGGGGACGCGTAGGGGAAGAGGTGGAAAGGAAGCCCAAGCCGCCAAATCGGGGAATGGGCCGCCCTGCAACCGCGGTACGGGCCCCGACGGGGCCAGCAGCAGCAGTAGCGGCTCGAGGTGGGAGTCGCCCCATGCCCGCACGGCAGCCGAGGCAGTCCCCTTGTCGTTGTCGGCGCAGCCCTCAGCCACACACGCACCGCGGCCCAGGGCCCGCCTTGCCCGTCCGGCCGGGGCAGCCCCCTCCGACGTCCCGGCATAGCCAGGACCCCCCCAAAGCTGCAGCCGCTTTCGAGGATGGGAGCCGGAGAGGCAGGGCCTCCTAGCGGCGGCGGGGGCCACGCCCCGCGCCCCGCCGCCTCCGCCCCCCGGCCCGAAGGCGCCAGGGGCAGGAGAGCCAACCGCCCCGCCCGGGGGGCGAGGGCCCAACCAGCAGATGACCCCGCAGCCGCCCGCGCAAGGCCTCCGGACCGGCCCCCGAACGGCGTAGGCTGCCCGCCCGCCCGCCAGCCAGCAGCCGCCCGGAAGTGGTTCCCCTATAAGTTGTCGGCGCGGGTCCTCAGCCCACACGACCGCGGGCAGGGCTCGGCCCCCGGGGCCACGGAAGGCAGCCCCTCCGACGGCCCCGGCAGCCAGGACCCCCCAAAGCCTGCCCCGCTTTCGGAACGGGAGCCGGAAGGCAGGGGCTCCTCGCGGCGGGCCGAGGCACGCCCCGTCGCCCGCCCGCCGCCCGCCTCCGCCCCCGGCCCGAGAGGGCGCAGAGGGCAGGAAATCCCAAGCCGCCCGCCCGGGGGGCGAGGACCAACCAGCTGGATGCCCCCGCACCGCCCGCGCAAGGCCCCCGACCGGCCCCGACGGCGAGCTTGCCCGCCCGCCCGCCAGCCCGCAGCCGCCGAAGGTGGTTCCCCCCTATAGTTGTCGGCGCCGGGCCTAGCCCACACGACCGCGGGCAGGGCTCGGCCCCGGGGGCCACGGAGCAGCCCCTCCGACGGCCCCGGCAGCCAGGACCCCACCAAAGCCTGCCCAGCTTTTCGGGGACAGGAGCGGAGAGGCAGGCTTCATACACGGCGGCGGGGGGCCACGCCAAAGGAAAGACGTGGCTGAACGCCTCGCTGGGCAGGCCGCCCACCCCGCTCAGGCCAGGCGGCGGCACGGGGGAACGGACCGAGTGGGAGACGCGCGGCCGCCGCCGCGCCGCCACACAGCAGGCCAAGGGCGGCGCTCGGCTCCGGCGGCCCGCGCTCCCAGCCCCGCCCGGCAGCCCGCTTCGCCACCCGCGGCCCGCACCCAACCGCCTCTCCTTATAGTTGCGGGCGCAGACCGTCAAGCAACACGACCAGAGACAGGCCTTCCATTCGTCCGGCAGGAGCGGGAGCCTGGCGGGCGCTAGAGGGGACCGCCCCGGCGGGCGGTCGTGATGTGGGTTGCCTGGGAGGGTGGAGGGGGGGGGTGAAGGAGGGGGTCACCTATCCCCACTCGCCTTTTTTTTTTTTTTTTTTGAAAGGGGGGGGGGGGGGAATTCCCGCCAAGGGCACCCAGGCAAGAAAGGACTTTGCCGGCGGCACTCACAAACACCCACACCCTTTCACACTTACAAATATCTACTACATTTGACGCTCACACTTGCCCGGCCCCAGTCAGTACTCCTGGAACCGTGCACCAACGTCCCCCGCGGCCAGGGGTCCTGCGTGAGGAGGAGCTCCCTTTTTCCTTCCTTTCTTCCTTCTCTCGTTCTCTCCTCTTTCCTTTCTCTTTCCTTCGTCACCCGGGAGGCAAAGTAAAAAAGAAAATAAAAGAATTTCCCGCAAAGTAACATACCTATGCGCGCCCCTTTCAGAGGCAATGGTAGAGATGTGTTTATTTGCTAATTTTGTATTGGAAGATATCTTTCTCGTGTAGGCTATACCAGATCAACATTCTTTCTGTTTGTAGGACTGTCTGTCAATTAGACAGATATGTATACTTGTATTTCTTTGTTTCTTTCTTCAAACACACATAAAAATAAGTATGTCAGTGTGTGTGTTTCTAAATGTATATGCATATATATATATATATATATATATATATATATATATATATATATAATATATATATATATATATATATATATATATATATATATATATATATATATATATATATATATATATATATATATATATATATATATATATATATATATATATATATATATATATATATATATATATATATATATATATATATATATATATATATATATATATATATATATATATATATATATATATATATATATATATATATATATATATATATATATATATATATATATATATATATATATATATATATATATATATATATATATATATATATATATATTATATATATATATATATATATATATATATATATATATATATATATATATATATATATATATATATATATATATATATGTGTGTGTGTGTGTGTGTGTGTGTGTGTGTGTGTGTGTGTGTGTGTGTGTGTGTGTGTGTGTGTGTGTGTGTATATTCATATTTATCTAGATCTATCTATCTATATATGTATATATATATATATATATATATATATATATATATATATATATATATATATATATATATATATATATATATATATATATATATATATATATTATATATATATATATATATATATATATATATATATGTATGTATTTATAGTGAGAGAGACTTAAATATAAAGACCTACACACACACACACACACACACACACATATATATATATATATACATACATATTCGTCATTTCATTTTTTCATTACTAACGCTTTAAGAATGCATCATTAATCGTCTTTAACGTTTGCATAAGCGCAAAAACACATAAAGAAATGACAAGAACCAAAGAACAAAGCCTCCAAAGTAAAACTGAATAGAAATGAGATAAAAACGTGAACTGCAGTTCGTGCAGCTGTAACGAGAACTACGAAATATATGAGGAATACAAGTTCTATATTCCGGCCAGTGAAAAAGAGCGATGTGGAAATAATAAAAGTAATTAGAGCGGCGAACATGTAGATGATTCTGGTCGTTTAAAGCTATCGGCATGTTTGGTCCTTTTTCACGATAAAAAAAAAAAAAAAAAATCGAAATATTTGCAAACAATTCTCTGTGAACACTTGGTGGAGCTTGATAGGAAAATGCGCTAAATATAAGCAGGCTATGAGTAATTCACAGACCCGGTCCAACACCATCAATATTGCATCACATCATCAATATTGCATCTATCGTGGAAGGCACTTACATAAATTGCACTTGGAAGTTGCTTGTTTAGCAAAGAGAAACCAGAAATAGAATACCACGGAGCATTCTTGGGTATCATGGAGTAGCTGGCAAATTTATCAAAGTAAATACACACACACATAATTCGAAGATTAACAGAAAGAAAGAGAGAAAAAAAAAAAGAAAGAAAAAAAAACAAGAAAGAAAACAGACCTTTCATTTTCGAACATGGAATGCATGACGATCCTCACCCATCCATTTCAGTCACTCCTGATTCCTTCAAGAGAAACGTGGTTAACCTACAATCGAGAGCTGATAAGGCAGACGCCTGCAGGACGCGGCGCCGACCCAACCCGGGTTACGGGAGGGGTCGTGCGCTCGGCAAAAGTTACTCTGATTCACCAAGATGTGTGCGGCCGGCCCCTTGCGGGAACCGGCTGCCGAGGGTTTTGGTCTAATAAAAGCGCTCCTCCCTCGCGGTCGGAGACTACAAAGGCATGTATTAGCTCTAGAATTACCACAGTTATCCAAGTAATGCGGTTCAGCAGAGATCCAATGAGTTATATCTGATTTAATGAGCCGTCCGCGGTTTCGCCTTAAGTCGGCCTGTACTTACACATGCATGGCTTAATCTTTGAGACAAGCATATGACTACTGGCAGGATCAACCAGGTAGAAGCAACAACGCACACTAGCGTGGTCGTCGTCGTCGTCATATGAACAACATTAGGAGGAGGAGGACATGGAAGAAGGAGGAGGAGGAGGGAGACGATAGCAGCTTTCTCGAGCGGGGGGCGGCAGCAGCAGCAGCAGCAGCTGCTGCCACAATGGGCTGCGCTGCCCCCTTACGGGGGAGGCACTGCCGCCGCCGCCGCCGCTCTTCCGCTGCGGTCTTTCCTTCCTGCCTGCCTTCTTCCTCTCGCTTCTCTCTCGACCTCTCCGGTTATTGTTACTTTGGCTTTTCACATGGCAAAGCCCCCCCGGAAACGCCCGACGACTCTCGCCCCGCTCTCCCGCTGCTGCGGCCAGAAGCCACACCATCGTGGTCGTGCAGGACGGGGAGGACAGAGGACAGAGGGGAGGGGGGAGAGGGGCGCGGCGCAGGCAGGCCAGCCAGCCAGCCAGCCAGCCGGGACAGGCGGGCTGCCAAGGCAGTGGGGCACAGGCTCACAGCTGTCAAGGCTGCTCACCCACACACACGCCTGCTTCCGGCAATCCCGCTCCGCACCCTTGAGCTGTGCAAGGCTAAGGGCAAGCCACGCCTTTGCTCACCGCCTCTCCGCCTTCTCCTCCTCCTCCTCCTCTTTCCTCCGTTCTCCGTCGCAGCAACGGGCCGCAGACAAAACAACATACGACTCCAAACCCCCCGAAGAACGCCACACACAATGGGGCCCTGGCCGCAACTCGCGCTGCAAGGCTCGGCTCCGGAGGCAAGCAAGCAAGCAAGCAAGCAAGCACAAACGGGAGCCGGCAGGAGGCGAGCGAGCCAAGCCCGTGGCAAGGGGGAGGGGAGGTACTCTCGCTGGACCAGTCTCCTTTTCAACCTGCCTCACGTGGCTCCGCAGGAGGAGGGCGTGGGATTGCGGGGGTTTCTTCCTTTCTCGCCGCAAGGGTGTGCACACCCGGGATCTAACTCCGCGCTACCGGCGAAACGTGGCCGAGGGGAGAAGAACCGCAGGGGGCTCAGCCGTCGCGAGGGGAAGGCCGCAAAAGGGGGGCGGCACTCGGAAACCATTCCGAACGTCAAGAGAGGGGCGGTCGCCTGTGTGAAGGGCAGGACCACAGCCGACACTGGCGGGGGTGGCACGGGGACTGGTTTACCCCGGCGGCCCCCGGTCGGCATCGTGGCGCGAGCCCGCGACCTTTGCTGTGCCAGGTTCGGGGGGAAGGAAATTCGGGAAGGGACCGACGCCCGAGCTTACCAAGAGCACAGGACGGAGCCCAAACCCCCAAAAGACCACACACCCCCCGACGTAAGAACAGGGAAAAAGAGCAGAGCAGCAAGGGACAGAAGGGGAAAGGAGCAGGGAGAGCGCCGCAACGGTGAGGGAGGGAAGAGATGCGGCCATGGGTGTCCCCCTATAGTTGTCGGCGCGGTCCCTCAGCCAACACGACCGCAAACAGGGGCTCCTCCTGCGCCACGCCCAGGGAGAGGACGCCCTCCGCACGCCCCACCACCCACGCCCCGGTAAACGCCTCACTCTCTCGCGGGTGGAGGGCGGGGAGCAACGGGCTCACAGCCGCCAACCCCGCTGCACCGCCTCCGGCCGGCTCCGGCCCCGAGGGGGACCCGCTCGCCTACCGCGTTCCAGCCTAGCCCAGCACGCTCGGCAGGGATGGGGAGAGGCCGCGCGTTGGCGAGCCAGGGCAGCGGGGACCGCCGCGGCCACGGCTTGCCCCGCCGCCGCCGCCCGCCGACACCCAAATGAAGGTGGACCACCCTGTAGTTGTCGGCGCGGGCCGACTCAGCCCACACGACCGCGGGGCAGGGGTCGCTCGGCCCCGGGGACCAGGGAAGGCAGCCCCTCCGACGGCCCCGGCAGCCAGGATCCCCCAAAGCCTGCCCCGCTTTCGGAGACGGGAGCCAGAGAGGCAGGGGCTTCCTCGCGGCGGCGGAGTCCACGCCCGCGCCCGACGCCGCCACCTCCGCCCTCGGCTCTCGGCCCGAGAGGGCGCAGGGGCAGGAGAAGACCAAGCCCGCCCGACCGGGGCGAGGCCCAACCAGCAGGATCCCCGCACCGCCCACGCAAGGCCCCCGACCGGCCCCGACGGTGAGCTTGCCCGCCCGCCCGCCAGCCGCAGCCGTCGAAGGTGGTTCCCCCTATAGTTCGGCGCGGGCCCTCAGCCCACACGACCGCGGGCAGGGCTCGACCCCGGGGGCCACGGAAGGCAGCCCCTCCGACGGCCCCGGAAGCCAGGACCCCCCAAAAGCCTGCCCGCTTTCGGAGACGGGAGCCGGAGAGGCAGGGCTTCCTCGCGGCGGCGGGGGCCACGCCCGCGCCCCGCCAGCCGCCTCCGCCCCCAGCCCGAGAGGGCGCAGGGGG